TATGGTATTTATTTTTAGGCCCAATGGTTATTTGTATGATAAAGAAGCCATTTTAGAATACATACTACAGAAGAAGCAGGATATTAAAAAGAAGATTAAAGAATATGAAACACAGAAGAAAAAAGAAGAGGTAGGAACCATTTATAACTCAGTAAGACAGTACTTTCAATTGTAACATTGTAGTATTGGTAATATTTCCCTAATCTTTTTGGTATTTGTAGACTGAAGCCTTAACTTCTTTAGAATCCAAAATAAAAGAGAAGAAAAAAGCTTTTGTAGCACAAGGTATGTTGAAATCTTGCAAATTATTTAGTGTATATTATGTTTAATGTTATTAAACAATAACTAGTCCTTATTTTATAAATGTCTTATGAATGCTGATTATTACTACCTGTATGTTTTATGCAAATGGCAATTGTCTTGTATAGTGTCTTACACAACTGGTTCAAAGTTTATATTATTATAATGCACCTCAGCCATGTAGCTAATAATAATAATAATAATTTTGGCTTATATAGCGCATTATGCTAAAGCCTCAATGCGCTAAACAATAAAAATAAAAATGCTAGGAGAAATTTAAGAAAAGTACATTTTAAAAAGGTCAGTTTTTAAAGCTGTCTTAAAATCAACAATGGAGGTTGCCTGTCGGATTAGGCAAAGCATTCCAAAGGAAGACAGAAGCCCAAGAAAAAGAATGATAGCCATAAAGCTTTATTGACGGGCGAATATAGAATGAGCAAGTAGAGACTCTAAACTAGATCTCAGAGACCTCTTAGGAATATAAGGATGAATTAGTTGTAAAATAAACTTAAAAGTGATTCTCTATGTTACAGGAAGTCAATGAAGGTACCTTAACACAGTTGTGATATGTTCCCTAATCGGGCTTAGAGACCAAGCGGGCAGCTGCATTCTGAACTCGCTGAAATTTTGAAATATCCTTAACTGGCAAACCATAAAGCAATTACTAACAACAGTCTAGCCTTGATGTTACAAAAGCATGAACGAGAATCTCAGTTGATCTAGGTTCTAGCATGTCCAATCAGGTACACTAATAAAAACATGAATACATTTTAAAACCTTTATTGAAGGAACATACAA